TATATATATATATATATATATATATATATATATATATATATATATATATATATATATATATATGCATGGTTAGTCAGAAGATTATCACGTGAGAATGTGAAATAGACACTTACTTTGTTCGTAGCGGCGATTTACCTTACTTTAATGATCGTCTTTTGGGCAATATCCCTATTTTGTTTATTAAATACTTTATGAATCCCCTCTGATTTGATTTCCTCTTTCTTAAAAATTAGACACGCAAAAAAAAACGAAATATCACACACACCGATTAACTTAATTCAACGATAGATAAGGAAACAAGCCTCAAAACGGATAATAAGTGCACAGAATACAATCGATTAAGGATATTAGGAGAACAAGAAGAACAACAAAGAAGACTCTATACCTAATTATGATGAGGCAGCGACTTCATCCCCCTCCTTGTGCGCCTCCTCTTTCACCCCTATGTTGGCTTGATCGTTGCATTCCGTTGAGTCCTGCTGTGGCGCCTTTTCGGCTTCAGGTTCGTCTTCACTCGATAGCTCAGCCTCTGATACAATAATAGACTCGAACTCATTTTTCTTTTCCCTTATTTTAACCACACTACCGTCGAAATCGGCAACGGAAACTGGAGGCTCGAGCCCAACCCTGTGGAAAAGCTCCACTATTTCCTTTGGATGGTGGACGGGCTTCTGAGTTGCCGGTTTATTCAGCTGGGAGGCCTTTTGCTGGCGTTTTTGTTGCTTCTTCGCAGACCGGCTCAGTGACGTATGTGAAGTCCACTTGCCCTCATTCAATACTGCAAAGCCTTCGGGAGCAACTTTTACGGGATCAAAATCCGCTGCTGCTTGCAGCTTAGCCTTCTCTTCCTCCTCCTCACGTATAACACGCCTCTTGTCACGAAGATATTCCATTAGGGTTACGCACGCACTGATCTCCACCTCGTGCTCGTGTTGACGTTTCTTTAAAAGGTACTCTTTTCTTCGACTTTTGGCGGCGTCAATCCTTTCCTGTTGGCGGCGTTTTCGCTCCTCGAGCTCGGCCTGAAGCTTCTCATTGTACTTCTTGCGAGCCTCATCGCACCAAGCATTCCACGTTTCGCTAACCTTGTTGTGCTCGGCGCGAAGCTCGTTTATTTGTTTGTTAATGGCCGTGATGCGGGCTCGAACCTCGAGGCACTTCTTGTATATTTCGCTGCGGACAGTACCCGATGCTTGAGCCTCCTTATTTTTCTCACGTTTCACCTGGAGGTTCGTCTCGAGCTCACGGTTCAGTGTGCCGATGCGCTGGTGAATTTCACGATATTCTTGCTGAAGCAGCGCCTCACGCTCTTCGGCGTCTCGGATGGTCTCAGTAAGGGTTTGCACTTTAAAGAAGAGACCTTTGGCTTCCTCCAATTGCTGCAGACGCTTAAGTGTCCGCTTTTCAGCGCTTAGGCCTCCCCCGCTCGTTTCCATCTTGCGCATCACTTGCTCGATTGCTAGATCAATCTCTTTGGCATTCGAAAGCCCGCCGAGCTCTGATTGGAGAGCCTTAAGTTCTTTGTTTGCGTCACGGGACTGTTGCCTCAACTTCGATATCTCAGTGTTTTTCCCCACACGAAGTGTATTTTGCGCACGCAGCTCATCATCGATAACCTTTAGCCTCTCCTGCATGAGTTTCCCCTCCTCATCAGTGTCACTCCTCTTGCTGTCCTCCATGGCCTTCTGCAATTCTTTAAGCTCATCAAAGCACTTTTGTTTCTCAGCGAGAAGTGGAGCTATCTTGCTCCCAAAGGCAGAGCCATCTGGTCGTGGTGGAGCTCCTGGCATCGACATCCACGGAGGCATCCGCTTCGGTTTCAAAGCAATATCTGACGAGCTCATGGTTGTAATCGACTTTGCAATGCAAAATGATTCGGTAAAATCGTACACAAAAACTTGTATAATGATAGCTAGGATAGATTGATAGATAGATAGATAGATATGAGAGGAAGAGATAGTAAAGATGGATATACCCATGTAAGATAAGTCTACTTAGGTGGAAATATTGAGTAAAGGATAGCGAATTCGATTGTAAACGACGCTTCGATTGTCACGAACCCACAGTGAAATAACACGACTATTTGGATTTTATACTCTGTTAAATAAGGCTCACGTATCCCTGATATGAATAGATATATAGGTCGAATCATAATCAGGTTATAAATTTATCATTTCAGCCCTCAGTCCCCACAGCCGCCCTCCTACCCCCCCCCTTCTCTTTCAGTCTATCCATCATTTTTGGCTTTGATAGTCGTCCAATGGCGTCACAATCCAGGGCTCAATAAAATCGGAGCTCTCCTGAAGAATAAAGACCTGTGAGCTGGCTGTTGTGGCAACAAGTATTTGGCCTGAAGGGGCCCAGGACAATCGCCAGACTGCTTCATCCATTGTAGCAACGCTTCTTTCCCAGTCTAGCATCGCAACGGATGGATCGGAGAGTTCGATAGCCAGCTGTTCCCACGGCTTGCGGTAAATCACAATGCGTTTGTCCTTCCCACACGACGCAAACATGGCGAAACGCGATGAGGCAGAGATCTGGGAGAAGGATACATCGAGGACCCAATCTGAGTGCCCCTCGACCACCTGAACGAGCTTGAACGTTCGAGTAAGGCCCTTATCATTCGCCCATAAACGTACTTGACAATCACAACCGCCTGACACCAAAATAAATTCGTCACCAAGATCCGCCATAACAGGAGCAAACGAAACGCACATCGCGCCCATGGCATGGGCGATTTTGTTGTTATTGCTGCTAAGCTTCATGTTCTCCTGCCAGCACCCATCCCTGAAGGCTGTTACCGCGACTGTCCCATCGCTGCTAGCCGTGGCCAACAGCAGGCCGAGCTCTTCGGGGCCCCAAGACACCGCGTTGACGCTTTCCTCATGAATGTCAACAACGTGAATGGGGGTCCATCGCTCCGACACCTCCTTCCAAATGATGGCCTTTTGGTCAAAGCTAGCGGAGGCAAGTACGCGTCCGAAGCGAGGATGTGCCCAGCTGACCGCCCAAACTGGCCCCTTATGTCCAGTAAGCGAAGCAATTCGCTGGATAGGCTGCCCTTCTCGTATCAAATGGATCCCGATGCTTCGGTCAGAGCTCGCAGTAGCCAGAAGCTGGCCGTAGTAATCAAATTGTGTGTCGTGTATAAGGTCCGTATGACCTTGCACGTGGGCATGCTCAGGCTGCTGCGCTTTCATATCGGGCCGAATGAACGGCACAGATGCAAGAGGACGAGGATTCTGCATGGTTCTGATTATTATTCTGAACGGGGTGTGCAGTAACAAAAATAATGGTAATAGCTATACTAAATAGTAGAAATAGAGGGATTTCCTTGTATGTTAAAATGCCCACTGATTTAAGAAAAAAAAGAGTTTAGTAGATCAAGAGACAAATTCATTGAGCTTAGTGAGATATATCATTAATCGCGTCATCAAAATTCTATCCATCGTTTGATTCGATCAGCGAGTAAGGCGTATTTTATGTAAAGTGCAACATCACATCCGAATTTATTCACAACCCCCTGAAAAGGCTTGAATGGGCAGAAAGTAAATTGGATTCAGCAATTTCTCATCTATTTCATAAACGCTCACCCAAAGGTAAGGCATGGGGAAGGGTGAAAACCGACAGTAACGATGTTCCAAGTGAAATGGAGATCCTGGATGGGAACCTCTTATTAGGGCGTTGAAACATTACTTGCTTTTTTTACCTCTTCGTGCTTGCGCCAGATTGTAGAAAGTCCCTCAAGAAAATCCTTCTCAATCTCCGAGCGATCCACCTCTTGTTGAAGCTGTGAATCGTCTAGAGACGGAAGCGACCATGAGGGGGATTCATGCAACATGTCTAGATTTACCCCAGAGAGGTTGCGCATGGCAGCCATTTCATAAATCGAGATCATTGCATGCTTGTGACGCAAGCGCTCACGATGCAAAATCTGCATACTGAGCGAGTTCGCAACAGAGACAAGATCCACAATAGAGTTTTTCCTGCCTCCCCTCTTACTCGACGCGCTAGGGACCTTTCGTTTCCGTCGCTTCGTAGGCCGTGTTTTCCGTGTGATGCATGGAACGACCCAATCACGCGCCTTGAAGGGCAGTGGGCAGTCACCTAAAACGTCAGCTCGACAGATGGCGCTCTCGTTCTCGTCACAGACACTCATTTGTAAGGCGGGAATACAAGCGATATTACCGCCAAGGGCTTCGCGTTTGCGAAGCCAGTATTCGTGGACTTCGGTGATAACCGCACTCGAGGCGTCCACACCCTCAAGATAAAGCCCATTTAAGCTTACAAGCCTTTCTAGGGATATTTCAGGGTTGTAAAAAGCTGCCAGCTCGAAGGCGGTGATGATATCCTCGAATAAGGAAATCGTGAGGTCCAAATCAACTCTTGATGCGGAACCAAGTTGGCCAGTTTTACCCCGCACTACCCCATCTTTAGAGGTGCAGCCCTCCTGACAGCCCTCCATGAATCGGTGAGCGAGCCAACGGCGATCAAATTGATCAGCGATATACCGAACAGGTACTTTTTGAACGGCGTTTGCTCGGTAGGTGGATGACAGGAAACTATCAGCAGGTAGCCTGAACACTTCCACATCCTCCAGTCCCGCATTCCATTCCGCTCGGTGCCGCACCCCAGGACGAGCAATCGAAGCGGTGGCGGTGCTGCTACTTCCGCCTGGTGTTTGTGGGAGCCCCCCTGGACTCGCTGCCTTGTGGTGGTGGTGCAACGCCAACGGGGAGCGAGGGGGGTCGGATGAAAAAACACCGCAAGGGCTGAAGCTTTGCTCGACATTGACAATAAGAGGCGTCAACTCCTGGCTCGACTGCAGTCTTGACTCATACATATCAAGAGCCGGTGGAGCCTGACCTTGGCGTGCACGGCTGGGGCAGGTTGCTCTGAAGCTTCTATAAAAGGTAAGAGGATGGAAAAAGAAGGAGACAGGAAGTATGGATCTGAGATGGGTCTCTCAACAACATGGCGTTTAGCAAGCTAAGGCTACGTTGGTAGCAGCTTAGAAGAACGGCTAAGGACTCGGGAAATGAACTTTTTACACCATTAGACATAGTTTCGTATCATGATTGCTCTTAGCGAACCACCACAAATCCGAAGAACATCAAGAAAAAGAAAATGATAGCAAATATTTTGAGAATGAGACCTCGGTTTGAGCTAATACTGGTGAGATATCTCATCAACTCATTTGTGCCAGCATTCACATTATCAAGCGCCGAGCCGACGTCGCTGTCAATGCGAAGGATAACCTCATCCTGTTCATGAACCAATCGCGTAAAGTCTTTGAACAGCTCACCAACTTCGGCGACCGCGGTTTCAATTTCAGACACCGCCTCTGCGCGTTGGCGGTAGTACTGAGCATTTCCCATCCCTGCCGCAAGTTGCATCTGGGAGTGCTGCTCCTGGTCTTGGAACAATGCGCTCTCAAATGTTTGTGGTCTTTCAACCGCAGTAAAGAATTGCCGACGAGATGCGTTTGTTTTTATATTCATCGACTGGTGCTGCAGCGTGCTACGGAACTGTTGTCCAGTGCGAGCAAGGCGATTTTTCAGCGTATCAACGACTACATCACTGTGCTTTTGAGAAGCCTGCAAATGACTTGAGGCACCACTACTAAAGAATCGATCTTTTTCGTAGCTACTGTAGCCTTGACTGTTTCGTTGAGACTCTAATGAACGTCTTTTCAACTCTTCCAATGTATCTAAATCGTTGTGCAGACGCTGAAGGGATGCCTTCACGACTTGCGTAAGTGCACTAATCTCGGCAGACTGGTCTTCAAACACGTTTTGTCTACTTATGAGTTTGGTCAGGCGACTAATAGATTCCGAAACGTTTGCGATATCCATTGAAAACGCTTGTGCATAGCGATTAAACCTTTGCACTTCGTTATTGCTTCGTAGAGCATCAGATTTGCCGTTTGTGTAATCCTTGGGCGTGGAGGATTGCCTTAAAGTATCAAAGAGCACATAGAGCTCCTGGGTTCGATCACGCTCAACCACCATTTCTTCACACTTTGAACTTTTTGTAGTGCGATTGATGATTTCTTCCCTTTTTTCCCTCCTTAAAGCTTCTACACAATTGTAAACCAACCTAACCTATTCAAAGACTAAAGCGTCCCGGGATCGACTGAAAACAAACTGAGGAGAACGGAAAACCTTTGGACGCATCGGAATCATTATTTCACATGTGAACACCATATTCCACTTTCGGGATTCGTTTTTTCATTACTTGTCTCCTTTGCAGTAGCACCCCACAACCCTTAGCAGGATCGTTTTAAGAGGAAGACCAACTACTATCGTCCTCATCGCTGCTACTCGTATGGATTTCTTCTCGTATGCGTTTCTTTTTTTCCAAAGTGTGACCTTTTGCGATCGAGCAGAAAGGGTCTAGCCAAGCTTGAATTTCATCCTCAGCATTGGCGATGTCTTTCACAAACAACAGCTTCTCGGTACTAGAATTCAGCCTTTCCTGGGCATCTTGCGGGTTCAGAGTTGCAACTATGAAGCGCTTATCATAATTATTCGCATTGAGACGCAATAGAATTTCAAAAGCCGCTGCATCCCTGCACATTACTATCGCACCCTTCTCAGCCCAAACACCGTCAAGACTTTTTGCAAGATATCCAGTCGATGGTTGACGTTGCATTGCTCCTCTTTCAGACCAAGACACAGGCCCTTTTGGCGCCACTAAGGCCTCAGCTGCAAAATAAAACTATATTGAACAAGATGCGCAAGTCAAGGGAGATGGGAAAAGGAAACAAAAGCAATTATCCACCTTATAGTTCCAGATGATAAATCAATCTCAGGTAAACACATTACAGGATTCATTGATGTGCATGCTATCACTTCTATGCATGACGCAACCCTTTATATGAATATATGGTTTGGTTTATTGCGTTCAGTCAATAAGAACTGATGCCTATTGTGTAGTATTTTACATGAGACAAAAAACAGTTGCTTCCTCGGCAGCAAGCGCACGAAAGGCGATGCGGCTGTCGTGCATGATGGATGTCCGTTCGCGTGCTTCTTCAGCATTAAGTCGGCTAAATGTCTCTCGTTCAAGTGGATAGCTCAAAATCTCATACCGAGTTTGAGCTTGTTGGTTGGCTTTAACCCCAATGGCACTGTAGTGATTTAAAGACCCAGCAATGAGAAACTGTTGTCTCTGGATCGCGAGGCGCGCTTCTTTCTCGGCTTCTTGAAGTAACAACATAGCCTCAAATGTTCGATCAAGAGGGGGCACGATATCCCTAGAGTGAGGCAAAGAGTCCATATTCGTAGAAATGCATGACAGTCTTTCCTTCTCTCTGCGCATCGCCATTATTCGATGTTGCACCTCGAAGCTCAGTAATTGTTTTCTTACGGATTCCTCTAGCCGTAACACCATCTCAACCCTACTAAGACATTCCTCCATCACACAAACCTCGAGTAGCTTATCAAAAAATTCTCCATCAATGAGCCGACGATGGACCTCCTCTTCAGGCACCACACCCAGGCTGCTGGAAGATAGTAGTTGTGGCTGGACATGATGAAGACAGTAACCAAAGCTGCGAGCAATCACACTGCGTTCTTTTTCTTCCGCACACCCTAAAATCAAGCGACATCGCTTCTCTGCCTGCAGCACAGCGATTTGCATACCCTCTATCTGTTTGCGATTCGGTGCTCTAAAGGAGTCGTAAAAGCAATTAAAATAACGATGCGTGGATGGAATGAGAATAGAAGACGAACACATTGGTAACGGCGAAAGGTATATCTTACAGGCTTCCATTTTAAGGAGGCCACCACAGCTTCCTCTCTCGTGTTATTATTTTTTTTGAGTGAGGTACTCTACTGACGGGTTATAGTGTAGTTTGTGTATATGTGGCCCTTTCTGACTTAATATGTAGGAAGGAGTGTAAGCGGGAAGAAAAGACAAAATAAAATTCATACTAGCTCAAATGCCTGTGATTCCTTATGTTTGCTGAAAACACGGGAAAATGCATCCCATGGGATGCCAAAAAATGGTATCGGTATTGATTCTATACATGTTATTTTCCACATAAACAACACTTTTGGGAACACAAAACACGTTATCATTTCCGCTGTGTTGATGTGGAAAAAGAACACGTAAAACCCGGTTATAACTGACAAAGTGATCAAAACCTTTAGTATTTATAAAAATAAAGGGTGTCCAAGAATAGTTAGAACTGTTTATTTAATGAAATAGCGATGCTAAAGCATAACCAAACCGATATCAGAGGACTGCCGTTTGGGGTAAGCCCAATTGTAAAAGTAGTAATGGAGGTGGCCATCCCCTTGAGAAAATTTAAGTTGCTCGGCGAAGCTCTTGTTATCCAGGATATCGACCATGTTGCATACATCGTATTCCATTTTTTTTGCAATAATAAGCAGATCTAACATCAGCTGCTGAACCGGCACCGTTGTGGCGGCATAGTAATAGATATACGCAACTTTGAGTTGACTATACTTGCTGTTACCGATAATCGTGGATGGCAGCGAGTAGAATGAAAAGAAGTCCGTTACTTGGTCGCCGTGAGAGACGACATAGGTGAACACAATATCCTTCCTCGGAATAAGATGATGTCCCACATCCTCTTCGTTGAATACGGGTGCCACATCGTACTTATCCAGGGTCTTCCGCAGGAGCTGCGTGACCTGTGGGAGGTCCGCAGGCTGCATTTCCCGCAAGTGCTTTGTTCGTGGTTCTGTCGGCAACTGAAGGATGCGCTTAAGTACCGCCATCGGGTTCTGAAAGCGCTGATATTGGGGACTAATTCCACTAAACCTAACCGCAACAAGTTTCTCCGGGTTCAAACTACGATGATAATACTGACTTGAGTTAAATGGCGTGGGAAGCACTACACCAGCTGTGTAAATTGCTTGCCAGATGTTCCTCCGATTTACCCGCCGTGTGATCTCTTTAATCAAAATCGGTGTCAAATGCTTCTCACGGAGCTGCTTATGCACACAGAGAAAATTGATTTCGCAGATACGTCGAGGGTTTTCAAACAGCTCCACCACCGTGCCATCCGCTTGAGCCTTCTTACTTGCCTCCTCCTGGAAAGATTTCGGGACGCCCATCTTCATCGTTATCGGAACACCAGAAATGAAGGCCAAGAGTTTTTTATCATGTTTCCTTCGAACCCCTACATGCCACTCCGGAATGTAATCTGGTGGAGTCAATGCCCACTTGAGGAACTCTTCCGAATAGTTGAATCGAAACATGCTGTCTTCATCCTCTACATAATTATCTCGTAACAACTCATACACATGGTGCAATTCTAAAGGATCCTGAGGATCTGGTGTCCACCACTCAAAGGTGCTGGCGATCGGATAGGGTTCCATCGGAATCTCATCCACCGTTTTCGGCCGATCCATCGGACCTGTGATGTGTGCCTCATCCTGAGACTGCGGAACTGGCTGTTGGTTCCAAAATTGATGTGGGCTGCATTGATTCTCGTTAGACATGGACAACACCTGGGAATATTTTTAGGGGTATCAAACGAAAGAAAAACTTTATTCTTGTACTGATAAAGTAAAAAATGGTTGTCGATCCTTCAAGATCATCAGGAGAGGAGAAAAAAACTGTATAAAAGATATACAAACGTGGCACTTTAATACCATAAAATGGTAAAAGTGATCATCGATAGACTTTTATGCTAAAACTCAATGGCTCTTCGTTGTATTCTCAGAATAGCAATCAAGAAAATTAGTTAACGTATGTTTGGTGTACGAATCCTCAAAAAAAAAAATACTTTATTTTATATAAGGAATAGCGAAAAAAAAGTGATTTCGCATTTGTAGAGGATGTCGTTTAGAATGGAAATTTCGCTTTGAAACGCTAACACACCACTCACGATACACCTTATGTGAATACTCAACACCACCTTTAAGCAAATCTCAACACCAAAGTTACTAACGTTCCGTAAAACAATGTATGCTGCTGAGTGGTTTGTGGTCTGTGAATATATTATTGTAAGACTAATCCAATAAATGCACTAACTATATTTATTCAGCTCCTTTACGGCCATGATCCACGACAAAGGCAGAAAAGCGATGCGTTATCTGTGCACATATATTTCTGTACTTATGGGAGAGCATAAAGTACTCTTCACTAAATGTCATCTTTTTGCAGCAAGCAAATGGTGAAAAAGAAGGAAAAACTTCGCACATAGCGAAGCCACTTCACAAAACACTACACAGGTGGATATGGTTTGAAGAATCAAACTAAATATCCTTCAAGAAGCTTTTTCTGGAAGGTTAGAGAGAACTCCCTTCACCTATATGAAATTTGGCATCCCATCGCCACGTGTCATCTTTTTAGGTGCGCTTCACATGCTTCGATGGATGCACACAGTGATCAAAGCCCAACTGTATAAGCATGATGAAAGACATGCTCCAAGGCTAAAAAAAAAACGAAGACATTTCAAAAGGGAAAAAGTCTGGAAACATTTTCTTTTGTTATTGTTGATGTCAATGCAGGGGCTTTGTCATACGCATTTTTTAAACAAGTATCAGCGAGGAGAAAGGAAACTCTTACCGCTTTGTACAGGTGAAGCAGGAAGATCGACGAAATAAAGAATTGCTGATATCACTTTAATTTTCAGGAATATTTTCACCGATTCGTCATATACATGCATGGTTATAGATATCTGCGAAGCAGCTGCATAATAGAAGTCTTACCAATCTGAGTTAACCCTTTAATATATTTATCATCCCAGAAAGAAAGAGTTTCCCCATTCCTCTTCCCCCCCTCTGTCCCTCGGTCCTCCCCATCTCCGCTCCCCTTCCCCCCCACCCTTGTACCCACCCATTGATCCCATCATAATATGAAATTCTAATTGAATCTTTGACTACGCGATAGATACCTTCACGACGTAACCAAGCATGGTAGAAATCGATGGGTCCATTATTTTTGTTATTTTTTTCTGTGATGATGTCATCCCAACCAATTCTACATGAGGCTTTATATACTATTTTGCCCATCAGCATAATTCTCTCCTCCTCCAACCTGAAAAGGACAACAAATAAACTAAATAAATAAATAGCAGACACATAATTCCGCAGATAATTTTATGACAAAGAAATTCAACTGCGAGGGTGGTTATCGAAGCCTCCAGAATGGAGGCGTGTGGAAACAGAATACTATCTTTAAAATCGGCACAATTATTCATCATTGGAAACAAAATAGACAGGAATGACTCTCTCGAATCTTAGTGAAAAAACAAATAGGATGAATTCAATACTAAGGGTAAAAGGGTATTCACCAATATTACAAAAAAAAAGAATAAACGATACAATGCCTTCTGTACTGACAACGAATGGAATGCCACTAGCAAAGAATTTGCAAACAGAAAAAAACTATAAGTAAATAAATGAATATAAATAAATAAATAAATAAATAAATATACATATTTATATCTATATCTATATATAGAGAGAGAGATAGATATAGATATATATAGATATGTATACGCATATATATGTATATCTAGCCCGGGTAACCATACAGAGTAGCAAATTAGAATGAACATTTGACAAACAACGTTTGTATAATTAGGCAAGGTTGCATAATGGAACTCGTCATGGTTTTTAGTTAATTATTTTCTTTTATTAATGCAGAATATTGAATGATGTAACCAACTATAGAACGCTTAATACTAAGACTGAAAGCATTCCGCCAAGCTTTCTTATAAAATAAAAAGATGTATGCATTTCAATAGCCAGCAGAAAAAAAAATTGAATAAAAGGAAGCACAGCGTATTCAGACCTCACGATGTTTTTCTGGATAAAAAGGCATTATAAAAAAAGATGTGGCCGGAAAAGCACATGCTTTGGTGATAAATTAATAGAAAAATGTGTAACGTCAGTCTTATTATCTTTAACTCAATAGAAAAGAGACATCTTAAAAATGTCAGCAGATAAAAATTTATTCTGACAGAACACAACATGATGATTGCTTCTGTTAAAAAAAATTAACGAGTTGTTGTACACACGACTTTCACTATGTAAGCATAATGAAGTGGTCTCTCTCTCTGTTCACGAAAAATCATATGGATGCCGAATCGATAAATTATTGCTTTTGTTTCGTTTTACCTGGAGGAAATTCGCAACTGCTAACGGAAGGAAGTAAAACAATAAACGAAACAACCGATGAAAAGATACATTTGCACGGCAGGGAGAGGATGAGACGGGGTAGAGGAAAGGAACTCTCAGAAAAACTGTGCCTTCTGTGCTACTTCGTTAAAAATATAAGGAAGTTGTTTTTTAATAATAAAAAACAAAAAAGGACAGCGCTATCAGTCTGAATGATAGAAACTTAAACATTTGGAAGCAAAGGAAAATCAGTTGATGTAGTTGTGATGATCTGACCTTCGAAGGAAGAAAATACGGCCATCGGCGTAACAGTTGTTGCAATTAACACAAACCACTTTGGATGAGTCCAAATTTTTGTTTAAGGGTATCAGCATATTTTCTAAGAGGAACTCTAACATCTTCTGCATCTAAAAACAAGGAATGGCAAAATAGTTGGGCAAATGGTAACAAAGATGCCGATTCAGACAATAGATTATTTATCGCTTCGTTACTGTTGTCTTGATCGTCATCAGGAGCAAATCGACTACAAAACATACCGTTTGCTTGTGGCACTGTATTATCAGGCGCATGATCGTCGAATAAGATCGTTAATCGCTCGTTAAATCTAAAATTTTCGAGTTTTCGAAGGTCCTTAATGTATATGTCATTAATCTTAACGCAGGAACCACGATAAAAGCGCCTCTCAGAACGGATTTGAGGGCACAGGAGATTCAAAATAGGTTCAGCATAGTCTTGTTCAGCAGCTGTGAAGATTAGCAAGTTGTAATGCATCGAGCATAGGCTTAGGAATTCTCTCAAGCCAGGTCTAAGTAAGATGTAATACTGACTTAGTTCATCTTTGCTTCTAATCTCGTGGTAAAGCCACCTTTTGTCGAACAGGTTAAAACTAGGGGGTCTTCGAATAAAGGCACAAATTAAAGTATTGTCCAAGTCAAGTATCAAATTTTTCCGCTTTCCAGCAAGTTGACTTCCAGGATATTCTTTCGGTGGAACTGTGTATATACAATCCTCATTGTTATCCATTTGTAAAACAAAGTATATTCAGAACCTGACGATAAGAAACCAAACTTGTTCGTCGTTACATCGTAATTTGGAAAGTAAAAACGAGAAGAAAAAAGAGTCAAGGATAAAGAAAAGCGCAAACGAAAAAATAACAGCAACTGGAGCCCTTAACTAGTTTTTGAGGCAATGAAATTAAGGAGGTCTCGTTTTTTTTCCCCATCTTGTTGAAGGAACTCAAATAGAGAAGACGAGGGCGGATGTGCATTCCGGTACGTTGAATTTTTACACTGTACTGCAACTTCCCAGCCCTAGTCGTTTTAGTTTATCCATTATTCAATGCATGATAAAAGACCGTTAATGTGTACAATTCAGTAGGCATGCCTTAAAGGGAAACGCATAAAAAGTTCGTAGGTGCCGAAAAATATACTTCCACCTATTGAAATCCAAAGAACGCGAGCAGAGGCACCGCGAAAAAATCTTTGGGCATCCCCGAAACGATCCCCGGGGCGTGCTGGTTCGGTCGCTAATTCCCTTATAACACGCGTTATCGCATCTCGACTCCAGCTCTGCGTCGGCTGCAACATGATTCTTGTCTTAATGACATCCAATGGGGTGGTCAAAAACGCAGCACAACCTCCACTAAGAGCTCCACAAAGTGGTAGTCCGGCGACGTGATATGATTCAGAATTTTTTTTGTGAGTCAGGCGATACTTCAAGAACTCATACAGAGACATTTGGATCACAGAAAAAGGCAGCTCACGCATAAGCATGATCGGCATCCCTGTAAACAAATAATGAAAGCCCCTGATACGAATCGGCACATCGCCGCTAGCTACTAGTCCTTGACTAAAATGATCAGTGACGCTGAGATTATTAGTAATTGAACGCAGTGCTGAGATCACACTTTTATGATGCCCCACCTGCATTCGTTGCTTGACCATTTCCACTGGCGTACGTACACAACACGCGCTACACTCCCCGCACATCGCCGCTATCGCCTGACAGGCATAGACTCCGGTGTTGAAACCAGAAGATTCAACATTCAAAGCAAACTCGTTATGTAGCTCGAGCAGACGACACTTGGTGGAATCATAAACTGTAAAAAAGGCCGCCCCGCCTGGTACGGAGCCAATTGCCACCGCACTAAGACCTTTGTAGACGTTCAATAACCCCCCAGACGCCAGGAAGCCCTTCTTCGATTGCACACGCGTTTTGAGGGTGTCAATGGGATATAATATGATATCTACAGAAAGGCCGGCCATCGCCCCGGCGAAAAACGAGTCCATTAGATTGACGAAAAAAAATGCTAACTGGTAAAAAAAACAATCATGCTAGCTCTTTTCTTCTTGTGAGTATGGACGTGTATTGCAAAATATGTGGACCAGATACAATAAATTATCGATCACGCTACCGTGATGGCTATCACTAGATGACAACAAATCATCTATGATGCATTCCTTCGCCGCATAAGCAAAAATCATCGTGATAGTTACGAAGAAGAAAAATTAATGAAATCTGAAATCGCAACACAATTGCAACTTTATAAATATTTAAGTAAGTTGTAAAAAAAAGTTGCAACCACGTTATCGAGCAAACAGTAAAGTTTCAAAGTGGAAAAAGTATTAAAAATTTACGTTCGTGCATAATGACTATTATTAATGACTACATGAAATCGTAAATTTTCTACACGCCACAACCACAATGATGTAATTACTGAAAGAACAAGCGCTGGAAGAAATAATAAAATATTTTCTTTTTCCATTACCCAATGCTTATAAATATCCACTTTATTGGCACTTAATTCCATTTGTTGGAAAAAATCAATACAGGTAAGGGTAAGACATTCATATCCTTACAGCATGGATTCAATTCATTTCACAAGTTCAGAAATAACTGAGTATAGCATACAATAATCCTGGGGCGCCCAGCTTTCTGACGAATCCAAGTCTTGAGATGTGCAGATTTGTTTTGACATTGAGTAAACCAAGGGATTTAAAGAAAATGAAAAGTCTGGAAATAAACAGTTTCTACTCTCTCTAGCTCTTTCATGGAAAGTTTTATGGAAGGTGAAAGTCGAAAAAATCACCGCAGACTAAGAAGACTGCATACTGCGACTAGCGGCACGATAGGGCGTCGAGGCACGACTCGAACCCGGAAGGGGTAACTCCTCGGATGACTGTGCCGCTTCCCTTAGTTTTGCGGTAATCTGTTCCTTGATACTATCACTAAAGGCAATAAAGAAGTTAGGCTGATTGTCAACCATTTTGCAATGCACGTTATTAACATCGACTTTCAGTTCCACGTTCATCTCATCCCCATGGGCAGTGTTGACACAAAACGACATATGTAGTTTCCCATCCGCGTGCGGCTTTACTTTTTCGTGAAGAGCGGAAAGCGGGGCTTTTCGATGAGAAGCTATTGATAGCGGGGAATGCAGCTGGGAAAGTTCATCACCATTGAGATTGTTTAGGTGGGCTCCCGGAGGGGGAGGTGACACATGAGGACCGAACCCATTCGACCGAAGGAGTAAAGGTAGTGACGAGATGTGTGGACACGTGTGAGTGTGCAAGTTCGAGGTGTGCAGGAATGGAGACTCGCCACGAGGAGCTACGGTAATGATAGAACCTGTGTGCTTAGGAGACGCAGGCTGACGCTCCCCAGTAGTGGGAGTAGTACTTCTCCAGCTTAGCGAGCTGCTGCGTAGAGGGTGAATGAAACGACTATTGTGGCTTATAGAGAAGGGACTGATATCACCACTAGTAGGCCGTTGCAGAAGCACACTGTTTTCCATTTGTACATCATTATCATACTCCGTAACGGTCGCGAATTCCAAGTTGCCAGAATCATTAATGCGCAGATACTGTTGGTAGGCGAACTCAGGAATGTCATTGGGCAAGAAAAAGTTGCCGGCGGAGGGACCTAGCTGGGTGTGATTAAAATGGAAACTCTCATGCACAATAGAGTGCTCAGGTGAAAAGACAGACGACGGAAAGTCTAAACTTGCACCGATAACCCCACGCTGACTAGGTGACGATGGGGTAACAGAAATATTCCTTGGTAATATAGAGCTGTTTTCCCTAGTAGCACCACTGAGTTCTGGGAGACCACGGTCGTGAGTGCGTATCCTCAACTCTGGAGAAACCATCAGTTTTGTGCAACGCTCCACAGTAATGATAGCCGCAACCTCCTCTAATTCATGCTGGCAGAGGATTTCGTCTTCAAAAGGTGCACCAGTCTGCGTTGAGACCGCCGACTTGATTTCCACATCTCGGTCACTATTAGAGAAGTTGTCCGTATTAAAGGTTCGGTCGAAAAACACACTGGAGCGATGTTTTGGTGTCTTTGTGCCAAACGCGTTCAGTGTCCGAGACTGAGAGATGGCACTATCAATGCCGTGTGCGGCAGCAGCAGAGGTAGGGAGGGACAACCTATCCGATAGCATAACTGTAGTCAGATCCGTCGAGCTGCTGACACTGTTGTTGAGCCACGGATGGCCCATCAACTCCTCAGCATCTGGTCGTTTTTCAGGATTTCGTGTGAAACATAGCTCGAGAAAGTTTAAGAATTCAGGCGAAAAATCACAGCCATTTCCACGTGAAAAGAAGGCCAGAGGAGTTTCAGAGGTGGTGGTGATGTAAAACATCAGGGGCAAGTTATCCTTCACGCCCGAATGGTGCCAAGGTAACAACCCAGTCCCCATTTCAAAGAGTGAGCAAGCAAAGGACCAAATGTCAGCCTTGTGATCAGCCTCCCCTTTGATGAATTCAGGAGACATATACACAGGGGTACCGATGATGCAGCTGGTGGGTCTACTGATTTCAAAAACGCGCTTACCGCAGCCAAAGTCGCATAGCTTAACCTTGCCATGGTGACTAATCAAGATATTTGCCGGTTTGATATCACGATGGAAAATACCATTCTTGTGGATAAAATCGATGGCAGATAGCAAATCACGCGCCAATTTACGTAAAACTGTTTCCTTCAAAGGTCCATACCTCTGCAACAGCTGCAGCATAGAGTCACCAGCGAGTAGCTCCATGACTATGCGGCAGACTCTCTGCGACCTGCTGTGTTCGAAGAAGTGATAGTTGACAATATTCGGATGTCTAAGCGACTTTAGCAAGGCGAATTCCTTCTCTACCGCTTTCAAAGCTCTGACGTCGTCAACATCATCCATTTTTATCTCCTTTATGGCTACAAGCTCTCCTTTAACAGTGTTTACGCCAATATATAATATAGCAAACCCACCTACTCCTATAAAGCCTCCACGTTTGATTTCTACACGGTGATCACTGTCACTCACAATAATTGTTTCCCCATTTAATGCAAGAAAGGTTCGCAGGGTAGACAAAAGAGTGGGAAGCTCTTTTTGAAACCTTGAAAGTGATGATTCCAACAACTGGCCACCTCCTGTAGCGTATTTGGCCAAAACAAGAATTGTAGGAATACTCATGTACCGCAATGGAGTGTGCGGCGATACGGACGATGCCATATCTTGGCAAGTCAGTGCGGGGCTATTGGTCGCGTTTGTATAGAACGAGACGATACTAGATCCACGCAGCATCTCCAGGGATGGGTTGTGTCCGTAGTATGGTGCGCAAGGAGAGCCACAACTTGAGGTACCATTGGGCCTTACATGTGGGGAAGCATGAGGACTTCGGTCGTTGTCGAGGCACGTTTTGCCATAAAGTGTGCTTATTAAATTGGCGCGATGCATGTGATGAAAGCTTTCACGGACCAAAAGTCCACAGGTACTCCCAAAACAGCGGCTGGTGTTAAACAATCGAAAAGACCTTCCCCACTCCCGTTGGATGCTGCTGCTGCCTACTGGAGAGATACATGTACTTGTGTTACTTATAGTTTGGCTATGTCGAAGACTTGGCATGGAAGTACCAATTTTACTCTCAGGAGATGCAAGCTTGGGCTGTCCAGGTCGCTCGGCAACGTTACGTGTAACAGTTGAACTAGCCGGCGAAGTTCCCTCACTTTTGCACACGTTTGTGATGTCCAGGTTCCATGAACGCGTTAAGCGGTCGGTGCAGTGCGATGTGCCAGGAAAGGGGCCAGCCGTCGATGTACTGCTACTATCGTCCATCGTGAAATCGCCCTCTTCAAGGGTTTCATCCGAACCTAGGGACCCAGCTCGCCCTCGAGTCAGTGTTGCTTTCATTCAAGTAATGTGTTTTGGTAGCTTCAAGAAAATGATCTCTCTCTCTCTATCGATTTCTTTTCCGCTGTATATATATATATATACATATATATATATATCACTAATTAAACCAATGAATTTGCCAAGGTCTAAAAAATATATATGACAACTTACATCAATCAAAGAAAAATACTAAACTGAGAATTTAAAAAGTAGCTTTTCGCTATCAAGAATAAACAAAGTGAAGAGCCAAGCATAAATGAAGCTCCAAACTGCCCAAGTGCAAACGATTGAATTAATATAAATAAATCACATTTGTAGGCCCTCAAGTAATAGACACAGGAAAAATGCAAGCAGCCCTCCATTTTTTTTCATAGCAGATGAATCCTTAAGAGCTAATCAAGATTCGACTACTCCTTAATGGTAGCGCAAAAAACCCAATTGCGCATACACAGGCTCAAGATCCTCTTCAGACAATTCGGCATCTAAGCCACAAAGCTTTAACAATTCATCCTCATTAGATGCTGAAAGCCCGAGCGAGGATAAGAAGGCACATGTTAAATTTCGCAAAGACTCTATTATTAAGAAATCACTCAGCATAGCAACCTCCAGAATGCGGTCCAGAGACCTTGGTCCTCTCTTTACAATGGTTTTGAAGAAAGCGGAGGTTTTGAACTCCGCACTCTCCTCCACATTTATATCCCCAAAACACTTTCCCAAAAGAAAAGCCATTTCCCAAGGTTGGACTAACTCCTCCAATGGTGCCCTGAGCGGTTTGCTGATGTTGGTTGGCATTCGGATTTGCACCAAGTCCAAATATTCCAAAACGACCTCGCAGCCCTCTTTGGTTGCTTGGTCCAGGGTAACCGGTGGTATGGTACCAGATACGAGGTCCGGTTTGCTTTGGGTACTAAAATCCGCCACGTCAAGAACGGTGTCCAACAATCGGCAAAAGCGTGCGGCACGCTTGTGAACAGCAAAGTCATTTCTCACTACCTTACCTTCCGGGCTCATCGAGTGAGCCACGAGGCGAATATAATTTATCGATGGTAACTGGTCCTCATGACTATTAAGAGATACGAATGTTTGCTCTCTTTTTCCAACAGGGTTCTGTGGAGCAGGTCCTGAAGGCATGTAAAAGTTTTAGTTCCGTTAGTATTTTTCTTTGCGCTTGCCCTTTACGTAAAAATTTTCTGTATCGCTCTGGAAAAGAGCTTGAATAAACACGATTCTTTGTTGATCTCCCTATAGGTTCTAGACAGGCTGCGGTAGACTTAAAAAGAAAGAGTGCACATAAAGCGTGAGTTGCATTAATACTCCGTGGAAGGGAGCATTGGTTTCTCTACAGCAGATTTCACCTCCTCGAAAAAAAACATGTTGAAAATCATAATCATCACCGTCCCTCCCCTCCCTCCCTGCCACAAGCATAAGAAATCTATTATTCACGTTGAAATACTTCTTTCGTCACACTTTACACATATGCCCTTACTCGGATTTAGAACAGAAGTAACATTTGCAAATCGAAGCGAAGCGTTTCCATGTGCTAATCGTGTGAGCAGTATGGCCTAAAAATGTTCCCTGGAAAAACAGCTATCAATTGAATATGTTTGGATAAATAGGTGTCTTAGTATTTATGAATAAAGGAAACTCAAAGGCTATAAAAGTTACGGTAAAGCTTGAGCAATAGCGTGCTTAGCAGTTATCATTGCATGCCGAATCAAATTTGTGGATGAGCTTTTTGCTAATTTGTTCAACATATCGGTCGTACCATTGTGTTCGAAGTACTCCCCTATGCCTGGTAAAGTGCACAAGTGCTTTATTATCATTGCAACCTCTTTAGCGCATTCCTCAGAGCCGTGCTGGAGGACGTGAAGGAGTGCGTCACCAAACTTATCTTTCCCAGAGATCACCGCCTCACCACAGTACTTTATGTTTTCCTTGTTTGAAAGTGTCATATTGCGTATCGTAAGCAGAGCAATGTAAAGGATATTGTTTCGATTTTCAGCACCTGCTTTGGAATTTTTATCAGACGCTTTCGTCTCGAGAGAGCATCCCGATACGCTCATATGAGAGATGATTTGAACCAAAGCATGGAGACCCCCATGCTGACGAATGGCATCTTTATTTTCTAAATTATTGACCGTAAGTGAAAAGAGGGCATTGACTGCTTTCTTGAGTACAGTGGCTGGTTGGTGAGGAGTAAGGAGAAGCATGCACATGAACTCCAAGCCACCTTGTTCACAAGGTACCACTTTATCTTCCTGTGAAAGATACCAAATTGTGGAAGAAACAGAGTCCTTCAAAAACACAGATGGCTCCCTTGGTTTGTTGACACTTTTGTAGCTGGCACCCTGACGGGAAAATACAGTTATCGGTGAGTAGCAATCCAACACTACCGCAACAAGGCAGCGAACCGCGCCACAATCAATTAACCTCCGTCGATTTTCGGAGACTATGCTACAGCTCCGCAACACTACGACAATCATTTCTCGGATACTCATACTCAATGAAATGATAGGAGGTGATGACGGAATTTCCTGCAGCACATCAGAAGAGAAATAGGCTTGAAAAAAGTCATAAGGAGTGTCAAGGCGATTCATTTTTTCACAAGTCTTGATCGAAGAAAACAAGGACACCACTTTTTTGCCAGAATTCGCGGACGCTGCCAGAACCGGCGACGACGACTCTAATACCTTTACCAGCATCTCGATCCCTCCTCTTTGAGCTAATTTGAGCTTGCCAGCTGGCAAAGTCGTCAAGACCCAAAGTGTCGAAATCAGCTTTTCTACCGTGCTGATAGGCAGTGGTACTTCGAGGTTGTCTTTAGAATCTAGGATAGCTCTTTGGATACAGTAAAGCAACAGTTCTATACTTCCAGACTCATAAACAAGCAGCTTAAATCGGTCGTCAAAAGCACAATTACGCAAAGTTCCCGCGACATTTTCAAGCACCTTCGCACTAAGAGACATTTTGGAACCCAACACAGGCGTGCGAGACATCGTTGTGCGCGGCGTGTCCATCTGCCAAGCATTCAGATACGACAAAAGGACAGAGATGCCACCAGAGTTGCAAATGGCAAACCTAACCTCTGCTGACGAGGAGCAATTCCATAACGTACCGGTAATATTTTCGAGAACAGACAGACTACTAGAAGATGTCATCACCTGAATTAAAAGAGGAATTCCACCGTAGTCTACAATTTGCTTCCTACTTTCGACATCTACGCTTAGGTTCCATAGCGCACCTGCGACGTTTTCGCAAAGAAACTCATGGGTAGCATTCTCAACTTTTTCCGTGTTATTCGACAGCAAAAGCTCTAGCAGCGCCGGAATGCTCCCAAGATTACGTAAGTCATGGCGGTTCTCTTTATTTGAGGCACAATTCCAGATGGCACCAGCTATCTTGGCCTTGATCGAAGTAGAGGAGTGGCGAAGCGTGGCAATCAGCTTTTCAAGACCACCGATTTCCCGTATGTTGTTTTTGGAAGCATCATCGCGCGTAAGATAGCCTATCACCATGCAGACGTTCTCAAGAATACTCAGGGAGTCAGTAAACAGTAAATCTAACGCGGCACGAAGTCCCCCAAGAGCAACTACTTTCGAGCGAATAGGTCTTTCTCCCAACCACTTGTTGTCCGTCTTTTCGTCTCTGGATAAAAGACCCCAAAGAAAGACTAATGCACACTCCATCACCGATTCCGAAGAGCTGAGCGACAAGATGTGCAAAAGTAGCTTCAATCCATCACAGTCTAAAAAATCACGACGTGCATGCTCACACAGACCAAGACCTCCCGGGAAGGCGGCGACTGCACAAGGGAAAGTGCCGCATACTAGGGATGAGAGACACTCCAACACAGCGCACTTAACATCATCATTGACACTGCTCAGAAGACTAACAAGGACAAATATCGCGCTTCCCTCTGTAAAAAGGGCTTTGAGCACAGCCAGCAGGTTTCGGTTGTATGACTTGTTACTGCTAGGTGCTGCTTGAAAGACCTTCCCAAGTAAACGCAGCTCCGCAAGCTTTACCGGTGGCCGTGATTCTGGTAAATGTTTGAGCAAGGCAAGAATTAGCGCAAGAATATCTTTATACTTCTCTGTGGACATCCAGTCATCACCCTGTGTAAAGGTTTGCAGTTCGTACGATTCTATAGCATGCAATAAGGAAGATTCCTTGACCTCAGGAAGACGCAGTGTGACCAACAGGCTAGTAGCGTTTCTGGCTGAAGAAGTCAACTGTGATGATTGGAAGCCTGCTCCGCCTGGCTCGCCGGAGTTGCTTTGCATGACTTCGGGGTCCCCACTGCTATTAGTACCTTTCACGGACGCTTTTGGTGATGCCAAAGTAGAGGATTGCAAAGAGAAAGTATTATTCGAGGGGGGTACTACGGGTTCCGCTTTAGGGAGGGTGGTACCTTCATCAGGGTCGTTCTTGAGCTTTTCCTTACTATGCTCTGTGATGGAAGCCGAAGACTTACCCGGAAGGACTACAAGTGCATGTTTAGCATCCACATAACAAGGCACTTCTTCAGCAACCAAGGAATTTAGTGCCAATCTGCACATTTCTTTTTGCTGAGTTACCTCTTTAAGGCGTCTTTCCTGGTCTTGCATCTGTGCTTCAAGCCTGGCAATTTCAGCCTTCAGCTTATCATGGGTTAGGGAAATCATCTTCGTTGTGGCATTAATTCTTTCTTCTTCCTTTGATAGTTCCAGTAATTCCACAGCAATTGCATCACAAAGAGAGTGAGTATCTCCACTTTTCCCATGAAGAAGGTTCCGCAAGGAGCGTGCAAAGGTCGCTAAGGGGCATTTCGAGGTTTCTTCTTCCTCTGATAAAGACAGTACTGTTAACAATGAGGCAATGACGCTCTCTACAGATTCTCCCATCCCATACAGTCTATGCAGTTTTATAAATAAGATCAATCTAATAAAAAGAACCCTTAAAATGTACTCCAATGAGTCGATACTTATGGAGAGGAGTGATATTCAATATTTAAGTTTGAAAAATATGTATCCCTAAAAATACCAACCTGTGTCTCTGTGCCATGGAGATGCGTGAAAGGTGTTAAATAAAAATTGTGGACAAGAGTAAGGGGGAAAAGAGGAGGACGCAAAGGCCTCTCGACTCGCAAAATTAAGGCATAAAAAAATTCCCCCCTGTTATCTCCCTTTCCCTTGGGTACTTGGAGGTAATGGCAGCCACAAATTTAACTACTGCTCCCTTTTCACCACCTTAGCGAAACAGTCAGCATAGCACTAATGATTTATTTAATTCAATTAGAAAAGTTAATTGCTTGCATTAATCGTTGCTTTTATTCTCCTTTTTCTCAATTTTCCTTCGTTTTGTTTTATTTGCTTTACGTCTCAAACTCAAATCTAACGGGAGAACACTCTGCCCTTGGCGTACCTCAATGCGTGGCTGCACACCTTCTTTGAATGACAGCGCGGAACTCCACTCTGGACCTAAAGGCTGACGCATGAAGCGGGCAAATTCTTGTGCATTGGAAAAGGGACGTGGGACCATGTGAAGCGTCATGCGATCCGGCACGAGCTCAACCCCGTCATGGTTAATTATGACGTGGTCCAATGCGGCATCAGCTCTGCTCTTCATCAAAAATGATTTTTCAATTTGCCTTTGAACCATACTATGCTCGAGCTTCTCTTGGTGACGTTTGTTCAGCTTAGGGTCCGTGCCACCCCATTCACCCCAACCAGGCAAATTTTCATTCACATCTTCGGGCTTCATGATTGTCTCGACTTGGGCAGTCTTTTCCTTGAGGAAGTCTTCGTCTATTTCATCATGTGCAAACGCTCGAGAGACGAGATACTCCTGATGCAAGCGAAGGTCTTCCTTGGGCACGGACGGAAGTTCCTCAGCAGCATCAGAGTCTGCGGTGACTGGCTCGCCTCCCTCCAGATGCGTGGCATCTTCTTGTACAGGGCGTACGCGTTTCTTCAGTGGCTCCGGCTTTATCGTGATGCGAGTGGGCCGCGGCATTTTCTTTCTCTCCCCGGCAAACCCATCCTCTGCTGCCACCACCCCTTCCTTATGAGATGAATGGAGGTTGTTCCCTATCATTTTCGATTCTTTTGTTTCGCTGAGGGAGACATCGGACAACGGTTGCGCCTCGGATTCTACTTCAGTCGCCTGCAGCCCCGGTTGTTTCCTCAAGTTGATTACTTCTACGCGATGCTTTGAATTAGACGAATCGGGAAACGTTTGGCTGGCACCCGCTAAGCTGGTGGGCCCAGTCACCTTATTGTCACTAGCATGATTTGGTGCGGAGCGTATTCGTTTATTAACTTTATCATCACCCTCATCAGAAGTGTCGTCTTTACCATTAGTGGTGCTTTGGTACTGTTGTATATCCTCCTGTAATGCGGCTAATTCTGCAGCATACGCCTTCTCCTCACGCTCCCGAGCATTCTTCATGAACTTCATTTCGCGTAACTCAGCACGAGCCCTCGTGATTGGACTATGAACTTCTTCATCGCCGTCATCCTCCACATTTTTCCACAAGATGCTCGTCAAAGGTTCCGTCTTTCGTGTAGAATATTGTGAATCTGCAGTCATCTGAGCGAACAGCTCGTCGACAACTCGTTCCTCTTCACTGGACATCTCCCCATCGTCTCCATCAGCACCAGCAACGTACCGATCGTAGTTGTCTTTGCCCACCTCCTCATCCATCTTCTGCATCAGCTTCTGCCGCAGCATATTCTGCTCACTTAACGCATCCTTCACGTTGACATCAATATGAGCAAACCGCTTAGCATGCTTAACCCACGCACTCGTATTCTTGTGCTTCTGCGTGACACGCTCTTCTGCACGCGAACGTGCGAGCACCTCAGCAAGTTTCTTACGTGCTTGCTCCGGGTGAAGCAGTTCAAAGGCCTTTTGACGACGTTCCTTTTCGCGATCCTTCTCCTTTCGCAAAATGCGACGGTAGGCTTTGCTTTTGATCCTGTTGAACCTCTTTCGGCGAGTATTCTCGTATGCCAGCATAGCCTTCAACTTTGCCATGTATCCTACGGATGGTGGTTTCGCGTTGGAAGACGACTCGCCCGGTGATACACTATCTTCACCTTCGATTTCGTTATCACCACTGTTGCTAAACGAAACGTAATTGCCGATAGAGTCACTTGTAGAGACGTGAGAATGCACTTCTTCAAGTTGACGACGAGAAATGCCCGCACGCGATAGGATCTCGTTCATTCTAGAAGTTAGTTTCTGAGCTGGGTTGGACGCCTCAGGGGCCCTCTCGCTGAACAACACCTCTGAGGCGGCCACAATGCCACCAAGAGAGGAGGGTGTAGGGTTGCTTTCGGGTGCTCTCATGGGAAGTTGAAGGTGCTTACTCTTATTAAGCTCTTGCAGCAGTGGCTTATACTTTGACAAATTTTCATCAACAATAGAACGAACTTCCTTCCGAACAAAGCGTTCCTTCTCAGAATCTTCCAGATCAACTGCGAGCAAATTGTGCTTATTCCTGAAAGCCTCTTCAAGACGATTCCGTGCGATCTCCTCCTCTTTGCTGCTGCCTTCACTATTGATGAATTGCTGAATAGCAGCACTGTAGGATTGCGCAACACCATCTTCCGCAGCGATAGCAGATCCGAAAAATGCTTCCTTCTCTTCCGTTAGTTTTGACACGCGCTGCTTTTTCACAATCTGCCGCTCTCCATCCTCTGCAATCGTCTTGGTCTTTTTCTTTGAAGACTTCTTTTTTTTTCCAACTTCTTCCTTCATTTCTGAGAGGTTTGCATCCAGCATATCACTAAGGTCCATGTAGTCACTCCCATCGCTACTTTGACCGTCTTCATGGTAGTTATAGAGGTCTTCCTCATCTGTAACACGGGATCCACCTTTCGATTTCTTCGTCCTGCCCTCCGCTCTCTCAAGCGCACCAAACTGTTCTTCCATAAAGTTATCCTCATCATCATCTAAATGATCGATTCCCTTAGATGACTTGCCCTTTTTTCCCACATTTTTTTTACTCTTTAACCGATTCCCCTTCTCTTGGTGTTGAAAAAAATGGCCATATAGTCTCTCATCATCGCTGTCGAATGCTAAATCGTCGTCAATCTCCTCATCCAGCTCAGATGGTATCAGCGTCTTGGTAGGCATGCCGTCATCGGAAAAGCGAGCCTTGGAGCTGCTACTAATGGAGTTACTATTATGCTTTTTCCTTGAATTTTTAGTAAGAAGCTTGGACTGCACGCGCGAAACCATTTTAGTATTTTATTATTTTATGATTATGTCAAATTTTTATTACTTTTATACCTTCCCACTGGTTTTCAGCCTACCCCTCAGGGTTTTCCCTGGTGCTTTTCAATCCGTTGATCCCACTTGACTTGGTCAACGGCGGAGAATGGAAAGTAAAAGAGGAGTAAAGCAATCAATAGTGGATAGTATCAGATTGCATCAACGACAGAGTGACAGATTCTTCTCTTAATCAATGTAAAATACAAAGCATAGCGAGAATACAGAGAAGTGCAATATCAAACTCATCAAAAAAGACCTGCAGATTCTACTGCTCAAAGATTTAACTTGCTTACATAACCTTGGATACATACACACAATGGGGCGAGCATTTTGAAATATCTACCCCCTTTATTTAATTCTCACTAAGCTACATCAACTCTTATCTAGCTTAGGAAACAGGGTACAAAAAGGCGCATGCTCTTTAACATTTAGTGTTGTCTTAGAAAAAAAAAAACGGTCTGGGCTTGTGAGGAGGTAACAAAAAAAAAATACATTAGGTTCTAATAGGCACCTCTCGTCGTATCTTTTATCCTGTTGGTATGGGTACTGCTAGTCTTAGAAGGTCGTGAAGCATAGGCACGCCGAGCAACAGCCCCAGTGGTTCTTTTCCCAGGTTGAGAGCTAGGAGGAGCAGGCTTGTCATGAAGAGAAGGATAGATTCGTATAGTTCCGTCGCCTGACCATTTTGTTACAGCGAGTGCAGCCTGACTGTTCGATTTATCTGATCGCAATCGGGGAGAAGAACTGAGACTCCTTCGTGCTCGCATGGGGCTTTTCCTTACATGCAAATAAGAAGACTCTGGAACCTCACGACTCAGGCTGGGAACACTCTCTTGACTAGTGCGACCCCCATCAGATTCCGAGCTCAAAACTGGTACTTTACTGGAATTAATGCAGTCACCACTGGCAAAATGGTGTGATAACATACTAGATAGACCTGTCTGCATTGCTTCATACGATATCGTCCTCTTACTTGTGTTTCTCTCGGACTTATCATATGAAAAGGAAAAGCAAGAAGGCTGGGATAGACGTTCCACTACATATCGACAGTACTCATCCATGGGAATCAGCCTCGGTGGGTTACCCGCGTGAAGCCATTGAGCATTGTCCTCGCGTTTCCGTTCGGGTCTCGCCGCCAGGCGAAGCTGTTCCACGGCGGAAAGGGTGAGGGCACTGGTCGGGCAAGAGGGGGGGGCACCCTCGCCGTCAGGCCGTGGCGGCCCCGTTGCACTGCAATCGCGCGTCAAAAAGGAATGCGCCACCATCTCGCGCAACTCATCCCAAGCCGAGAAGGACGTGTAAATGTACTTCATGGCATCAAATAAGCAAGAAGCGTAAAGCTCCGCACTGCTTTCAACGATTTCCTTAGCAATATCCTCACACATCATCTCCACCTCAGCGCACCTTTTAGAACTTTGAATAACATAGTCAACGTCAGGGAGGGCTACGGAGTTCGGCACATTTTTTTGGCTCTGAGCATCTCTTTGTTCTTTTTTGTTACCATTTGAAACTGATAATAATGCATCTTCCTTGAGCCCGTCAGACGCGTCAAGAGTAGCGTCACGAGTGGTGTCAACCTTCTGCTTAGCCCTGTAGCACTGCACAGCACCGTTAGGACACCTATTGTCTAAGGAAAAAACACGCTCAAAATCACGAATTAGCGCATTATCCCTTCTTATAGACATCAAGTCTCGAAGGAAACTGGGGAGCATTGGAAAAGCATTGCTCTCATTTCCCGAGTCATCGGGTGATATCATCGAATACTAACTTAATGATTTTCCTGCGTGTCTCACTCTACAAAGACTAAGCGAGAGAGATAGCTGGAATAATAAGAAGAAAATAGCACTGGCAACCGCTCGTTTCCCTTTCGTTTTCTTTTCCAGAAATATCTAAACCTTAGAAAAAAGGATTAAAGCCAGTCAAGCTTTCGACTAGCGATAGTTAAAAAAGCAAATTGGGAAAGGCAAAGGGAAAAGGAAATAGCTTCTACACTGCAAAGATGTGCTCGATTTAGCTCTCTATCTATCATTCCTTTAGATATAACTAAGAAGAAATCCTCATGCAGTGTTAAGAAGAGAACTGCGATAGGAGCTCAACAATTATCCTACAAATTTTTTTAGTGAACAAAAAGATCAAAATCTTTCATTCATTTTTTTCCCGCCAAAGTTGTTCATCACAAGAATTTTGACCTAAAAAAATTCGCCCTCTTAAAGCGATTTTATTGGTGCTTTTAAAAATTAAGAAGCCACCGAGCACAAAATAATCAAACTTAGTCAAACAACAATCCTTTGCGGATTTATCGGTTGACGTGAATATCAATGCATGCAAACAGAAACTATAATAAAGCCTCGGTTAATTAGCTATGCATGCACACCCAAAGAAGAGCTGCATTGTGTGACCAGCTTGCTAAACTCATCAGAGTAATTTCCCGGACTTTCATACATTAAGTAATCAGACTGCTATAAACATAACTAAAAAAAACGCCATGACATACGTCAACAGGAAGCTTTTCATTTAAAAAAACCATCCACCATAATGCTCACACACTTTACGTAAAAAATAATAATAATAATAATCAGAGGGCAAACTTCTTAATATTTGCCGAAAGCCAATCAAGACCCTCGTACAGTCCTTGTGCAGTCGTCGCACAGCAGCCCTGGATGTACCAATTTCTCTGACGAAGCGCATGCAACCCGAGCTTCTCAGTTACCTCAGTTGTGCTCATGGCGTTAGGCAAATCTTGCTTGTTGGCAAAAACAAGCAGAACAGCATTACGAAGCTCGTCCTCCATTAGCATCTTCTCTAGTTCTCTCCTCGCCGCTCCAATACGCTCACGATCGTTGCTGTCTACAACAAAGATGATGCCGTTTGTATTCTGAAAGTAATGGCGCCAGAGGGGGCGCAGTTTATCCTGGCCACCGACATCCCACATGGTGAACTTAAGATTCTTGTACTCGACCGTTTCAACGTTGAAGCCGATCGTGGGAATCGTCGTCACGACCTCACCGAGCTTGAGCTTGTAAAGTATCGTGGTCTTTCCCGCCGCATCCAGACCAACCATCAAGATGCGGACCTCTTTCTTGCCCAATAAAGAAGAAAACCAGCTTCCCATATTCGAAGGAGTAGTGGGAAAATGTAATATTTATGAAACTGAATAGTAAATGTCCTCTTCTTCTAAGGTTTCGAAGCGAAGTATATTGAGAATATGTGTATACCTGCAAAAAGACGACAGAACCAAGGATAAAACTGAACTGAATGCATCACTCTGTATAAACTCAACGAAGGCTAAGATATTTACGAATCCAAGTACTAAGCAACAACAAAGCATATGAAAACCTTAATGCCAGTACACTCTATATTTTTAAATGTATAGATGACTGAATATACCCGCGCTAATCACTAAACCCATAATGAAAGCACTTTAGAGGAAACGCACAATACTGAAGGGAGGTAATAAATCACGTATGATCATCTCCTCTTACTGATGCCTTCAGACTATTAAACCCAACTTACGCGTTATTCACCGTCAACAAAAATATTACGAGAGCATAAGTGCAAAAGAGAAAAGAAAAGTAGTTTTCAATAGCACGGTATGAAAAAAAAAGATATGGTAAGCAGGTGCAATATGAATGTTGAAATTCAGTAGACACCTCTTTTAGCATATACTACTGATCGAATGAGGATTTCGGTAGCTCCTCAAATAAGGCGCCAAAGGTAGATTAACTGGCTCCAATTAAGTAATTTACTTAATGAATCTCAACACAAAAATTTTACGTGCAACTATTCGATCTCCGTGCTTGCGTCTGAACGATATTTTCGCTTTGTAAATTCAAGACCACACATATGCGCCGCTGCACGTGCTCTCTCTATGTCGTTTTGTTTTACTGCATAAATCTGTTGCAAAGTGCGATACTTAGCCAAGCATTCCCTCATGAAAACATACTCTTTGCCACTTAAAGGACCCTGAGGATCCTTCAAGAGCTCCTCAAATCGGTGAGAAAAGGAAAACGTATGTGAGTCACGGCATGCACTCGCTACAGTAGCCTTAGTACATAGTTGTGAAAACGTAACTCTTAACATCCTTTTATGATTCTAGTCGGGAAATTTTAAACAAAAAGCTTGTTGACCTAAACTATACATAAGTTTGCATAACAATTTGATTAAATAGTCCCTTACGAGCCATGTATATAAATGATGAAAGGAATCATCGAAAATGAGTAGGGAAAGTAATGTATATGCGGCTTTAAAGGACAGTGCAAATTTCCATCACCTTTAAAACTAATAAAAAACTGAAACATAAACTCCCATCATTCAAGTCCATGCTTTTGAGGGTGACAAAATTTGTTTTTTTTAATATGGAATCTCACGTCCAAACAAGTACCCTACAGTTTTTTTAGTTTGCAATCATATAACATAGAGATTTAACCACTTTAGAAAATTTCCACTTAAAATGTCAGACGCCAAAAACATCATCTTGAAGCCCAGGATCAATAATTTATTCTTGTTTTATCACCTCTGAAAATCCTAATTTAAAAAATAAAAAACTCTATCAACAAGGAACCTTATTGGATTCATCCATGAGACAAAATAATACCTGTACACTGACAGGGATGAGCAATGCTTATTTCTACTTCATTGCCTTGCGAATATTTACCGAAAGCCAATCAAGACCCTCGTACAGTCCTTGTGCAGTCGTCGCACAGCAGCCCTGGATGTACCAATTTCTCTGACGAAGCGCATGCAACCCGAGCTTCTCAGTTACCTCAGTTGTGCTCATGGCGTTAGGCAAATCTTGCTTGTTGGCAAAAACAAGCAGAACAGCATTACGAAGCTCGTCCTCCATTAGCATCTTCTCTAGTTCTCTCCTCGCCGCTCCAATACGCTCACGATCGTTGCTGTCTACAACAAAGATGATGCCATTAGAGTTCTGATAGTAATAATGCCAAAGTCGGCGCAGTTTATCCTGGCCACCGACATCCCACATGGTGAACTTAAGATTCTTGTACTCGACCGTTTCAACGTTGAAGCCGATCGTGGGAATCGTCGTCACGACCTCACCGAGCTTGAGCTTGTAAAGTATCGTGGTCTTTCCCGCCGCATCCAGACCAACCATCAAGATGCGGACCTCCTGTTTCCCCATTAAGGAACTGAAGGCAGATGCTAACCACTGGCCCATTGCGAGTATAGATGCGAATGCAAAAAAAAAAAACGCTTTAACCGATTTTATGGAGGTAAAATCTTATTAACCTCGCTATTATGTGACTAATGTAAAAGCTGAGTGACAGAGAAGGATGTTGTTGTGTTTTTGCACTATGATGTGTGAAACTACCCCCCCCCCCCCCGCCTTTCACGGATACAGGTTTAATGGAGAGTCAACATAGGCAAATCCCTTGCATCCTATGTGCTTCGCAGTAAGACCGCCTGGAACACACTTCCCATTGGATTATAAAAGAAATTATTAGTGTTTACGACGTTTCTTGCACCTCTCGACCTCCATCGTGATCTCATTAAACTCCTGCTCCATGGCACTGATCTCCGCCGGCGTTGTATTCTCAGACAGTATTTTAGCCTCTAGCTCCTCCAAGCGTCTTTGCAGGCTCTCATATTCAGCATCTTCCCTATCCATCCCACTGTCACTGGTGGTAACAGGTACGACGCTTTCCTCGACGTCAGCCAGACCGCCACCCACCGTGGTAGAGGGAGCGTTAGCATTCGCACTGGAACTTGCACCTCCAACCTCAGCCCCCCGCATTTCCCTTCCCCGCTTACGGATTTTCTTGCCCCCTTCAAGCTCGGTGGTAGCACGCACAACACCATTGAATTCTCTTTCCCACTGAGTCATAAGGGCCTTAAACTCCTTCCGATTTTCCTCACTTGCACGACGATCCGCCTGCGTCACACGAGAATAATTGATGAGTTTAAGATGTGGGCAGAGGAAAACCATAAAGGATCGTATTTTCTCCTCACTGTAGTTTTCAGGGTTGTGATCCCATACCGGATTCGCTTCAAGAGAAACAATTTCCAGTTTCTTCCAATACCGCAAAAAGTACAAATCCCTCACCGTTCCAAGGTTGTTTCGGTCTGCGAGAAAATGGCATAGATTGGGCAATGCCATAACACAAGACCCGATGCTTACCTTCCGAATTTGATTACGATGAGCAATCAACGTCACCACACGATCCATGATGGGTTTGTTCTCGCCCTGCAAGCCCCTTTGCGGGAAGAACTCTAGGCAGGTCAAGACATTTGAGGTAAGATTGATAACATCAAAACGATTCTCCAGCAGTAATAACACATTTTCATCCAGTGAAGAAATGGATAATCCGCGTAAATCAATTTCCCGTTGAAGAATTGTATTATTGAACTGAGGAGCTTTTCTAAGTAAATCAATCGTAAGACGCATAATCAGAAGTTTTCTATCGCTTGTTTGCTTTATATTGCTATAAAAACGAACGCGATACTTACTCTATCAAATACTTTTAATGGTGTCCTTTCGTGCCCTGTATGGACTCAAGCGCAGAAAAAGGGATGAGGACTAAAGTGGTGAAAGATTAAATGAAATTCCGTGATACCCGGGCAGGGAAGAAGGAAGGTGCATTCCCGCACAAGAAGCGTTATAATAATATCCATGCTAATAATAGCAAGAGTTTAATGGCTCTAAAATGTGTGCTAGTAAATTTCTTCAGGCATTAACGTCCCAGCATTGTCCAGTGGTAAATTCCCTTTATATTATCAAACACACACCTGCAGAGTATCTTAACGTTTAAAACGGGAAAAAAGTTATGGTTAATAAAGTAATATATCAGCACATTCATTTGTGTTGTGTGGTGTAAGCAGAGCGGAGGGTTGATCTACGCCCTGGCACGTCGTGGCCACCATCAGGGAGGCCCGTTCGTCGCCTTCTCCGTCATGGATGCACCGTAATGTCAAAACGAGGGACATCGGCTTATCCAGAGGTGGTATCACAACCCCTTTAGGATATACTGACCGAACTCTAAGCGTTGTGGAGTGTTCACCGCCAGATTTTAACTCTTCAGAGACGTCAGAAAACAAGTATAAGACCAAAGATCCCGCTGAGGCTTCGTGACTTATGACCACCCTGGATGGCAGAGGGGTGCCCTGAGAGAAAAGACAGGACAGCTCACTAGCTTCCAACTCCAGAGTGTCCGTGCCCTGTGATGTCAGATCTGCGAGCCGCGAAGCTGCGTTTTCTCCAACAAACGCATAGACGTTGTGTTTTAGAACCCTCACATGGGTGTGTTCGTCGTCGTCGTCGTCATCTTCACTCCCGCTTTCCATAGATAAGCACGACCATATCCGGAAAAGCGACTCTTCAGTCTCCTGAAGTGCAATAGTGCTCAATCCCTTCCGCTTGTGATTCTGCTTATTTCTTTTATGGAGCTTGCTCCGGACTTCAGCTTGTTCATGTGCAAGGAGTGCAATTTGGGAGCTGTGAAAGCAAGCACCTACAGCCGCAAGCTCATCCGTACCGAACCCCTTTCCAGCAACTGAATCGCTAAGAAACCGAAGCGATGAGAGATCGAAGCATGCGGAAACAGACGCTGAGCTAGACTGGCTGATTGCCTTTTGAACCATTTGCACAACACTGGGAATGTTGTGCATCCCTCCTGCTATCACGACATAGTTAATGGGGTAATCCTTGAGTTGTTTTATAAAACGCTCCGCGAATTCATTGAGCATACCGTTAAATATGCCCGATAAAGAATTTACACTGGCTATCGCCGACTCAAACTTATTCCGAGATAGGGTTTGACTATCCTGAAGATCCATGCCTTCATAAAACGCCTCCACCTCCACACTCGCGCTATTCGCGTTTGGATTGGTACTGAGTGCCACTTTTCGCTCCTCAATAGAAAGTCTCAAACGGTTCAAGGATCGCACGGGAATGCACTCAGCCACTATGGCCGCCGCCTTCCGCTGATCACACTGGAAGTCCAAGAAGCTACTCAATCGCTGCATAAGTACTTGGTTATTACCTCCGCTGAGCTGCCTGGAAAACAATCTGCTGTTCTTCAAAATATACTGCGCAGCGACGCAGTCTGCCATGGAGGCATCTATTGCATCCCCCCCACATGATCGGTGGCAAGCAAAGTAACTACTCTTGTCTTTGATGGAGTGATTGCTTGATGTCGTAGAGCAAAGGTAAGGGGGAACCCACTCACCGCCATTATTTTTGAGCACCAAAAGCCCCTTGACTGTGCGGAGCACGGAGAACGCCAAGGCGTGGGCGCCCCAGTCAATGACGAGGAGGTTTGCAGACGGTATAGGCGCCGGGGCAGGAGACGGCCCTACAAGAGACTCTGCGGCGGAGCTAGGCGCGCACAGAAAGTACGACGAGTTACCCCTTGTTGAAACACTATCCACGGCAAGCAGACATGCCTCGTCGCTGAAGATGATGGAGATGTGCTTGCAGACCCCTCCCAAGTGCGAGGCGCGGACGGCCTCGCGGAGCCACGCGACCGGGCCCTC